GGGCCATCTTGGAGACGCCCTGCCTCAGAGGGGGCGGGGGTGGGGAAAAGGTGCTGTCATAACTTTGTTTAGAGTGGAAGGAGCCTGAACAGAATGTCCCCAGCTCTAATGGGGATTGTTCTGTGTAGCCTGGGACTGCTGGCCACCTAACTGGTTAGACCTCCAGCTATCAAATGAGATAACAGCCCAGCCCAGCTGACCTCACAGGCTGTTGGTGAATCAAAAGCTTTGAATATACTTGAGGAAGACTCCAAACATTGCACACCAGTTGGTGTGAGGATGGCACGGTTATATGAGGGGAAGTCCTGGGTGAACAGCCATAAAAACCACCCATAAAACTCCCACAGGGATGCGCCTTAGGGCTCATATCCACTGGACACATTATCATTCACTCAAAGTCAACTCTCTCACCCTGACTCTGACCCCTCAGCTGGCCCAGGCCAGGTGGCCTGTGTGCAACCATTCATTCATTCATTCGTTCGTTCACTTGTTCATTCGTTCATTTGCCGAGGCCCTCGTATGTTCAAGGCCTTCACCACGTCATTCTTCTCGCTGGGAACAATTCTGTGACAGGCACTGCTAATCCTCTCTGCAGGTGAGGAACGGAGGCCTCCCTGAGCTCACACAGCGACCTGTGATTCGGCCCCGTGTTCCCTCCTTGGTCAGGCACCACGGGCCCCGCCCAGAGTGTCACCCCACCCTGGTCGCTGCAGCACATCACCTCGCTTCACCTGTGCAGAGTATACACCACTATTGAAATCATTTTCTTTCGTTAGTTTATTTTCTTTTTTCTGTTAATCCTCACCTGAGGATATTTTCCCATGGACTTTTAGATAGAGTGGAAAGGAGGGAGGTAGGGACAGAGAGAGAGAGAGAAACATCTATGCGAGAGAGACAAATTGATTCATTGCCTCCCCCATGACCCTGACCGGGGTCGGAGATCGAACCTGCAACCCAGGTACATGCCCTGGACGGGAATCAAACCCAGTCCATGGGCTGCTGCTTTAAGTGCTGAGCCACACCAGCCAGGGCTCTTTTCTTTTTTATTGTTATTCTCTTTCCCATGAGAATACAGTCTACTTTTTTGACTAATGACTGCTGTTATGCCCAGTGTCTAGAAAAGCGCCAGGCATGTGGCGGGGGCACAGACCACAGCCGTGGAGTGAATGGATACATGAGTGAACACACGGAACAGGGAAGCCAAGTCTCCAGCTGAGCTCTGCCTGACTCCAAAACCCGCACTTCCGGGACCTGGTGGTGATCGACAGTCATCCCTTCCCCCAGGGCCCACCTCCAAAGTCCTCCCAAACGCTTTCCTTTGGTGGCAGCTTCTCAGGAAGCCTTCCTCAGTCCCCAGGGCCACCCGGATCACAGTGGACAGCAGATGCACTCGGAGGGCTGGTCTCTTCCAGTCCACTCTGTGGCCAGGAGCCAGGTGCTGGAGGGGTGAGCCCTGCCCCGCCCTGCCCTGCCGGCTCCCTCACCTAGGGGCCCACATGGCAACTTTTCAAGCCCAGCTGGACATGAGGAGTTTGCTCAGGCCTCCTTCCCTTTGGGGGCTCTGGTCACTGTGCCCACCACCACCCCAGGCCTTAAGGGAAATCGCCCCTGCTTGCCCCTGCCTGCCTCCTCCTGCGCTCTATTCAGAGCATGCTGTGGTTCCTGCAAGCCCGCGGAGAGCAGCTAATGAATTCATACAGACTTCCTGAAGGCTGGGGTGCCATGGGGACACCCCAGAGAGTATAGCATTCACAGTGGCCTGTAGCAGCCTCTGCACCCTCACTCAGGAACCTCTCTTCCAGGATCTCTGCCAGCTGCCCATGGCAGATGTTCTCCTGGACCCCCACACCCCTCAGGTGGAGCCAAGACAGGTGAAGTCCAAGGCTTCCTCCCACCTTAGGCACATTGTCCCAGTGGTGGACACTGGCAATGGTCATTCATGAAAACCCCATGCTGTGCCCACCCCTCCAGGACACCCAGAACTTCAGAGCCCATGGCAACCACAACACTGACTCGTGCCAGGCACATGGGAGAGAGGCGCCCGGCGGCACTGATGACCACGCTGCACTCCAGTCGCCTTTCCCGTCTTTGTCCTTCTGCTGCCCCAGGGTGCGGGTCGGGCCTGGCACACAGCAGGTGCTCTGAAGACATGTCTGCTGGGTAGATCTTTCAGAGAGGGCTCTGCAAGAGTGGACAGGAGGTTGACCGCAGTCCCCGTACTTCTGGCTGTGGACACAGGCAAGTCCCTGCCCTCTGAGCCTTGGTTCTCGTGTGTGTGGTAGAAATTGCAGCTAGCAAGCTGCTGGCCCAAAGGCCCCACCTGGGCTGTAAATATGTTATTTCTGGTTCATTAGTATTTACTTTTATTTTAAAATTTATTCCCAACATTTAAAAATTGGCTCTGTGAGGTCTAAAGACTGGTGTGACAGGATCCATGGATGACGAAAACTATTAACACCCTGGATAAGAAGCCATTCGGGCTGAGTAATTAAGAAACTGCTGTTTCTGAGGATGACACAGAGTCTATAAATAGCCTCAGAGCCAGGTGAGTGCTAATACCTACCTATCTCACCTGGGCCAGGAGTCCTCAAGGGCTGGGCACTTTTCAGTGTATAGCTCAGCCCAGGGACTGAGCCTGTGAAACTCTTCTCTTTGGCAGGAAGGTGAAATGATGCTTCTCCAAAGAAGGTGGAGGGAGTAACACGAGTAAAGGAAGTTGGTCCTGTGGATGGGGGCACTGTACCATCGACAGACTGCCAGTTCTATCCAACAAGTTAGATCTCAGCCTGGCCTTCAGGGCTCTCTCTGATGGCCAGTCCCCCCCCCCCCCCAAGCCTTTCAGCTCATGGTCAATATTGCAGCTTTTGCTGGAAGGTGCCCTGACCTCTCCCAGCTTTGGGCTGGCTTTGGCTCACCCCTCTCTGGAATCTCCTCTCCACATCTCTGTGGTTCTGTCCCTTGAATGTGTTCCCCCAGGCAGACACCTCCCAGATCCATCTTCCACAGTCCCCTGGCTACTGCTCAGTTTCTATCTTGCTGTGTTGTCTATTCAAGGCTTATCTCTCTTGCCCTTCTCACCCTCTCCCAGTAACCAGCTCCCTGATGACAGTGAGAATGGCTTGACATGTCCTTGGCATACCCTGATCTTGGAGTCAGACGGACTCCAAGTGAATGAAGGACGCTCTTTCCAAGCAGAGCTGCTCATGCTCAGTGGGGTAGGGAATAAACTGAGGGACACCCAGGTACCATCAACCCACTTGGAGAGGCTAAGGGCTGTCAGCTGAGGGCCTGGAACTAAGTGGGGTGGTTCCTCTCTTCCTCTTATAAACTTACAGTATATACTGATATGGGGTAACCTGAGAGAGGGTCCAGATGGGGCAGGGAGTAAGTGGGCTTCCCACTCAGGCCTGTTCTACTTCAGGTCACAATTATGAGGAAGGAGCAGGCACTCCCAAGGCAAGAGTAAGGCCCCTCCTGAGCTGACCTAGGGAGCAGCTGGGCTCCAGGATGCAGTTGGAGCTGAGTGACCAGGCCCCTCAGACCAGATATACAGAAAAGGGGACTATGAATTTCCAAAAAGGGCCAAACTAGCATTCTCATGAGGCTAGGACACTGCTCTGACCTCCTGAATTTGCTTAGGTCAGCATTTTGCTGCCCTGCCCCTTCCCAGGGCTTGGTTCAGTCTGGGCAGGAAAGCCCAGAGCTGGTCCCAGCTCAAGTCCACCTGACTCTGAGGCCCAGCTACCACCCTTTTCTCGGGCCCCTCAGATCTCTGAGCCCCTGCAATTGACACCCATTGCTGTCTGAGCCCCAAACTCTGAGCTAAAACCATTTAGACTCTGTCCATTACAGATGCTTGTGGCATAGTACTTAACAGTCGATAAATTCCTCTCTTTCTCTTGTTCATTTTTATTCTTGAAACAGCTTGGGAAAAATAGCAGAGTAATTCTTCAGAAAGGAAACTGAGGCCCAGAGAGGTCTGGGATGCCTGGCACAGGCTGGTGGCGGGGACTCCAGGGTTCTCCTAGCCCTAGACAGTGCCTGCCTCTCTCTGGGCTTCAGTTCCCCATCTGGAGAGTACAGGTGTTGGCACACATGCTCTCTTCGGACACCTGCCTGTTGATCACTTCCTGTGGGACTCCCATGCCTCCTAAGCTTCTGTGAAGTCCACCTCAGTGTGCGGGTAAATCCCGAAGGTCCTCTTACTCAGCTCCCTTTCTCTTCAGGTCTTGATTTTTCACTTTTCCCTGAACCCTCTGTGCAATGGCCCCTGTGCTGTGTTACCTTTCGGTGCAGTTCATGGCAGGTCTGTTTCCAGGTAAGTGGGGGTGGGAGGGGAGCCAGTATCCCTGGTTTCACCAGGGTTGTCAGTCTGTGGAGTTGAGGAGGGGGCGTCAGACCCAGTCCTGGTAGAAGGCTGGAGGCCCGCTGGAAGCATGACAGGCCCAGGCAAAGTTTCCAGTCTTGCAGAAAGATCTGATCTCTAGAAGCATCTGCGGACAGGACAGCCTGTGGTCACCATTGGGGGGTGGTGTCTCCTCCAGGCACCCCTCAGACTAATCAAGCTTCTCATCTCCACTTTTCTTTGATTGACTCTCAGTGCCACCATTTCCTTTGGTCTCTGTCTGCAGGGCCAATAGGGGGAGGGGCGGCCTATACAAATGTAGACTTTTCTTATAGTCAAATAAAAACATACGGATGCTTACATTTTGGAGATAGCCACTTTTTAACATTTGTTCCCTTTTTAAATTCAATCTATTGGGACCCTCACAAAATGGAACTGGTCTCCTTTTTGCGAGATCGTGTCTGTCCAAGGGGTCTCTGGCCCTGGTCAAGTTCAAAGGACTTCATGCTTTGTCGCCCCATCAGTCCAGCTGCATTGCCCACCGAGGCCGGCAGGGGTCGCCCGCGGACAGGCCCGGAGGGGGCGGGGCCGCGAGCCCTGCCGGACCAATAAAGGCGGCGGCGCGCGGCGGCGGCGGCGGCGGCGGCCCCGACGCTCCGGCTCCGCGTGATCCTCGCCGCTGTTTCCTCCGCTCGCACCGCCGATCTCCGGTCCCGACCCGACCCCTGCCGCTATGCTGGCGCTGCGCTGCGGCTCCCGCCTGCTCGGCCTGCTCCCTGCCCCGCGCCCCGTGCCGCTGCGCCTCCCCGCGGCCCGCACCTGCAGCGGCGGCGGCGGCGCCCGCGACCCGTCCTCTTCCGCCGGGAACCCGCTGGTGTACCTGGACGTGGTGGCCGACGGGCAGCCGCTCGGCCGCGTGGTGCTGGAGGTGAGACCGGGACCGGCCCGCGCCGGGCTGAGGGTGGCGGACGCCCTCGGGAGACCCCGGACCGGCGCCGCGCCTGGCCCTCTGGGTGACCTTGCCTCCCACTCCCGGCTCCGGGCCTCAGCTTCCCCGTATCTCAGAAGGGGCATCGGATTGGTCTCTTCCGGTCACCCCTCGGAACTTTGGAGAAGTGGAAGCGGGGGGAAGGGTGCGTGTGGACCAGAAAGCTCAAGGTCAGGTCGCAGACGGTGAGGCCCGGCCCCACTAGCTGGCCTGGGCGGGGAAGGGGTTCCGAGACCTCACGGAGTCCGAACCTAGGCCGGAACTACGAGGGTGGCCGGGGTCCGGTCCGGCGCGGGCCGGCTGGGTGCTCACGTGGTGGCCTTTTCGTGAGGGAGTGCGGCCGCCCCCGCCCCCGCCCGGTCCCCGGACCCGGACCCGCCCCGCCCCCGCCCGCCAGGCGCCGGGGAGTGAGTGAGGTGGTCCGGCCATCAGGCCACCCGGCACCGGCACCGCGAGTGAGCAGTGTGCCTGGAGCCCAATTACAGCCCCAGCCACCCTACCGGGGCCAACTCAGTTCCTGCCCCTGACTCTGGGCCTTTTTAAAAAAAAATAAAGCAAGAAGCAGAATCCTGAAGGTAACGAGCGGAAAGGTAGCAGAAACTCCGTGTAGCCTTTGAGATTGGCCCTATTTTTAGCAAAGGGAGCTCAGTTAAGCCTCAGTTTTCTCTTCTGGAACATGGAGAGCACCGTTCCTGCTCCCATTTATTTTAGTGGTTTGGCACCAGGGTGGCTTTTGAAGCCGGGAAACAAGAGGCCAGCTTGCATGAGGCCCCACCTCCCCTTACCCCCACCCCTTTTGCCTCTCTGAGCCTCAGTTTCCATCTGCGCATTGGGGAGCTTGGACTGGCCCCTCCCTGGACCCTCTCTCCAGGCCGAGTCTGATGCTTTGAGCCCAGCTGTGTGTAGTGGCTCTGCCAGTTCTTCCCCAGTGAAGCAGGCCAGGATGGCATTGTGATCTCTCCTGACACATCAGGAAACCAAGCTGCCTCCTCACAGCCTTGGATTCAGGAAGCAGCTGGCAAAAATGGTAGCTGCCTAGGCCGCCTCCTACATAGTGCTGGGAGTAACAGGAATGGAATGGTGCATGGTGCTTCCTCAGTCTCCTTGGCCGTTGTGGAGGTTGGGTGGTGAGGAGGGACCTTCCTTCACCTGCCTCTGGACTAAACATCTTCTCATGTCTCTCTTCTTTCCCTACAGCTGAAGGCAGATGTTGTCCCAAAGACTGCAGGTAAGGTAGTGTCTGGGGCCCTCCTGAATCTGGGCTCAGTGGAAGAGAGGCAAGGCAAGGTGGGTGGGCCGGCAAGAATTGTCCAGGCAGGGAGACTTGGGATCAGATGGGAGGGAGTTCCATGTGTGGCAGCCTCCTGTCCCTCTCTGGGCCTCGGTGTTGGCCTGCTCACCTGCCTGGTGGTAGCCGCAGAATCAATAGAAAGCACATGGAAATTTCCCCAGGACAGCTCCCTCCTGGTGCCCAGTGTGCCAGGGTGATAGCTTGCAACCCTTGGACTCCCTGCCCTGCTGACCTGGTGCCGCTAGAACAGCTAGGATTGTTTGCTTTGCCACTGAAGTCAGAGAAGGAGATGACTTGTCCCAGGTCACAGAGCCAAGAGCAGACTCAGGGGGCAGGCCTAGGGTCTTTCATGCCCTGCTCACCTGGGGGATTAGAGAGGATGCTGTCTGGAATGAGTGTCACCCCTGGAGTTGAGTTGAGACCTGACCTGTTGACCTGCCTCTCCCTTCCACCCTCAGAGAACTTCCGGGCCCTGTGTACTGGGGAGAAGGGCTTTGGCTACAAAGGCTCCACGTTTCACAGAGTGATTCCATCCTTCATGTGCCAGGTACTGTGCCCTCTGTACTCGGGTTCCTCGTCTGTAAGTAGGGATCATAACGGACCACTTCACAGGAGTGTTACGAGGAGTAGTGAATGAGCATGTGCTTGAGAAGGACCGAACAGAGGGCAACTGTAACCACTCCTGGCCTGTCCTCCCACCCGAGAGGCTGGAACTTGTCTGCGCTGTCGTAGCCCTTACCTATCCCAGAGGTCAAGCCACAGGGCAAGTGGCAGGATGGCCCTGCCCAACTGCGTTAGGGAAGTTGAGCCTGTCGAGGGGGCACTGGCATTGGGTATGGATGCACGTGGGAGGTCGATCTTAAGGCTTTAGAGGACTAGTGTATTGAGACAGTCTCTGTCCCCTGTACTCAGTGTGACACACTGGGCCCTGGCCTGGGAGGAGAGGAAGAGGAGGGAGGCGGAGAGCACGAACAGGAACATGCAGGTCTGGACTTGGAGCTTGGCTTTCCAGAGAAGAGCATCTCGGTTGAATGAATGTTTTCTTTAGTCATGTGTCCTGCCCATTTGTCAGAGGCATTGGTACTGCTGTGTCAGAGGTTGTAGGGTGGCTATTGACAGCAAGAACTTCCCCAGGGGTCAGACCCTGCTAGGTCAGGGGTTTGTGTCGTGAGGCCAGCAAACCTACAGGCAGGAGTATGGACATTATGAGGTCCCTTTTTGAGGTCCCTTCAGCCTAGAATTCTCTCCCCCATTCCCTCCACGCTGGTGTTGTAATCATATGGTAGTAAGTGGCAGTGGGTTGGGGCTGGGCTTGCTGATGTGGCAAGTGTGGCAAATGCCGCAGGAGGGGCGGGAGGCTGTGGCGTGGGACAGGTTTGGCCGAGCCCTGCACATTCTGCTTCAGAGGCTCCCAGAGCTGAAGTGTACGGGGCCAGGCCAGCACCTTTCTTGAGCAGCAGCAGCAGGCAAGGGCGGGGACTTCCAAAGCTGGAGGGCTCTCTGTGGCAGAAGGTGGCAGCACTGGGGGGCCCGGGCCAGGGTTTTGAATTGCCCCTCTTTGGGGACACTTACTGGCATTTGTGGATGCTTCAGCTGGGCTGGTCAGGCCTCCCCTGTGACCTGACAGGATCCCATCTCAGGAAAATGGCAACATGGCCATGGCCCAGGGCTGGGTGGCACCACTGGGCTCTTCTGGCAGTGGAAGCCGCGGGTGAGCCCTGAGGAGGGAGCCAGCCCTGGGTGGGCTGCAAGGCAGAGGGAAGCCGCTGGCCTGGTCAGGGAAAGAGCCTGGGACAGGGAGGGGGCTCAGATAGGGAACTGGCTCTGTGCCAGCTGCTGCTGCTCCCCACAGACCAGATGTGGATCAGGGCTCCCTGGACACATCTCTGTTTATGCTTTAAGAGTGTTGGGAGAAAAGTCTGAGTCACTGAGAATCCTGTCATTGATTGTTAGATTCTTTGAGGGCCATTTAAAAACTTGCCCAGACTTCTTTTCGGCCGGAACCTCCATCTTCCAGGTAGACCCTGCGCGTGGCTGCCTGCGATCGTGGTTCCACAGACTTGAGTCCTAACGCTGAGGCTGCGTGTTGGGGCCCTCGAGAGACTGTCCAGACTGTCAGTTTGCCAAAATGACGAACACAAAGGGAAAGAGGGGAGGCGCCCACTGTATGTGCTCTAGGCCTTTTAGAAAACGTGGAGCTGTTCCTTTGGCTACATCCACGCGAATCTATGAGAAAGGTGGCATTGTGGACATAAAGGGAATGGGCACTGTTCAAAAAGGAATGCCCCCCAAATGTTACCATGGCAAAACTGGAAGAGTCTACAGTGTCACCCAGCATGCAGGGGGCTTTGTTGTGAACAAACAAGTCAAGGGCAAGATTCTTGCCAAGAGAATTGATGTGCATATTGAACATGTTAAGCACTCTGAGAGCAGAGATAGCTTCCTGCAATGTGTGAAGGAAAGTGATCAGAGAAAGAAGGAAGCCAAAGAGAAAGGGACCCGGGTTGACGCGTCAGCCTGCTCCGCCCGGAGAAGCACACTGAGCACCACTGGGAGGGAGCCGGGCTGCTGGAGCCCATCCCTGTGAAGTCATGGCGTGACAAGTAAAGAGAAGACCTGGACTGACTGAGTAGAAGTGTGATGTCCCTTCCCCCCAAAACATAAAGAAAACTTGGTGTCCTAAAAACAAAAATAAATAATAATAATAATAATAATAAAAACTTGCCCAGACAAAAACTGAATCATTCGGAAGGCAGGACAGTTATTGTCAGAAAATATTTGTTTTCCTTTTGCTTATTATTTCATTAGTCCTTATATAATTGGATGCTTTTTGACCCCTTTGCCTGGAGGGCTCTGGGGGGGCGCCGCATGTGGATGGGTGGGGTCCCCAGAGCTGTGCCCCTGCCTCCCGGGCGGCAGCCGCTCAGAAAGCGCCTTGTGCTCTCAGGCTGGCGACTTCACCAACCACAACGGCACAGGAGGGAAGTCCATCTACGGAAGCCGGTTTCCTGATGAGAACTTCACACTGAAGCACGTGGGGCCAGGTGAGTGGGGCCGCCATTCCTGGGTCTGCCACGCGCAGCCGGCCAGGGAGGCCGCAGTCTGACCCCTGATGGTTCCGTGTCTGATCCTGTCCCTGCCTCCTTCCAGCTTGGTTTGCTGGGTTTCCTAGAGCTTTTCATTCTGAGCTCTCCGTTTAAAACAAACTATCCTTTGGGGACTTGGCAAAGGGAGAGCCTTTAAGCCAAATCCCAACATTAGTTCACCTTTAAGACTCAACGTACAGTGTGGAAAAGTCTAGAGTCAGGTGGGAGTCCTGCTTCCTCAAGGACAGGCCCTGGGGAGCCAGTCATCCTCTGGGCCCTGGTTCTCTTCTGAGCTCCAGGCTCTTCAGACTCAAATGTCCTTGGTGTGGTTTGAGCTGTCTGCTCTTTGGAATGACTTCCCAGGTGAGCGGCTTCCTGGGGTGGCGTGGCTCACTCCTGCTTGCTTTTGCAGGCGTCCTGTCCATGGCGAACGCAGGCCCAAATACCAACGGCTCGCAGTTCTTCATTTGCACCATCAAGACAGACTGGTGAGTTCCCTGTTCCTGCTCCAGGCCCTCTGAGCATGAGGGGCAGCCTTGCAGCTGGAGGAGGGTCTGTGTGCATTCAAGAAAGGTGGTCTGAAGCTAGACTTGTCTGCTCTGGGACAGTGACCTTCCCTGGGGCTGTGTGTCTGTATGAGAGAAAGAGAAAGTTCCCGAGAGGATTGAGGGAGAACGTGGGCCGCTCTTGCGACGCTGTCTTAATGAGGCTCCCAGCTGTCGCCATTAGCTGGAATTTCCCCAGTGTTTTGCACACACATACGAGTACGTTGGGAAATGCTGCCGAACATATCAGGCCTCAAGATGGCCTGTTGTAGAAGCCTATCTGCCTGGGTTCACCTATTGTTTCCCAGGCTCATGCGGACCGTGGAGGGCACCTTGAGCAGCACTGGTAGACATTCAGATATCACACCCGAGTTCCATCAGGCATTCGCAAGGCCTGCAGGTAGCCCCTGCCCTCAGCCTCTTTCTCACGTGCCCGTGGACTTGAGCGATGTCTTCCCTGGTAAATTCTCCCCTAAGGGATAAGTTTTTCTACCCAAAGTCCCTTGTGTCCCAGCCCTGGGGCATCTGGGATTGAAGGGACAATAGCTGGCCAGGGGCTAAGACTTAATAAGCTCATTTCTGAAGACTTTAGGAAGACCTGGGTGATAGGTAGACACTAGCTGTCTCTAGGCCTCCAAGCAGAAGGTACGTGGATGACAGGCTGGGCAGGTCGTCGCTGGCACCGCCTGCTCTTCACCCCTTCTGCGGACATGGATCCTGCAGCTCTGCCCTTGGCTGTAACAGTCTTGGCCTCGCTGGCACTGGACTGAGCTGTTTTTTAGATTCTTGGAACTCTCAGCTTGAGAACTGCTCAGTACTTAGTCCCGGCATACTTGTTATCTGGGCTCTCACCTCATGATTCGTAACTTGCAATAGTTCCGTTTACACAGACCTTTTGTTTCTTTAGAGTACTGTAGCTCAGCATCCTGTTATCTCCCTGAGCAGAGCAAGAAACTCCCTTTTCATAGGTGAGGTTGCCAGACACAGTCTGTCAGTGTGAGGAGGCAGAACGTGCCCTGGAAGGGAGGCATCCTCTGCTGTGTTTTGGGAGTTCGGCAGGCTTGATCCGGGGCTTTGAGGAGCGGCTCCAGCTGGTTGGTGTGCATTCTTTCAGAGCTGCTGTTTTTGATAGATAGTTTGTGAGCAAAAGCCCATGATGTTGGTTGATGTTGTACTACTCTTCGTTTCTGTTCACCTGACTCCCCTGTCCTCACAGGTTGGATGGCAAACATGTGGTGTTTGGCCATGTCAAAGATGGCATGGATGTTGTCAAGAAAATTGAATCCTTTGGCTCCAAAAGTGGGAAGACATCCAAGAAGATTGTCATTACAGACTGTGGCCAGTTGAGCTGACTCCCTGCGGCCACGGATGCTGGGCCTGCGTGTGGCCTTTCCCAGGTGGCTGCCTCGGGCTCCCCGTGAAGGTGCCCGCAGAGCAGCCATGTGCTCGAGGAGGCATCTCAGGAGTTCCCGGGGACCCACCAGACGGCTTCCTCAATGCCTGTCCTTCCTCCTGACCCTGTGTCTGGACCCCCGGTGTCACTACTACTCACCCGGCATCAGCTGCGAGTGTCCAGCCTCGTTCACATGTGCCTCAGACGTGGGGGTGGTGATGGGCTAGCTTCACGTTCAGATCCCTGCCTTGTCCTTGACCAAGGGGGAATCCAGTTGCTGCAGAAAGGGCTGTGATATGTCTGTTTAATGTGTCTCCCTAATTGGAATAATTTAATGAAGAAGACTGCCTGGAGGTGAAGATGTGACACTACTCTATGCGTAGTGTGACCTGAGTTGTGGCCCAGGCCACGGAACTCCAGAGCTTGGCCTCTGGAACCCAGTCAGGGCCTTGGTGAAGGGCCTCCTGGCCGAGGCCTCTCTCGCAGCCCCTGTGAACCCCGTCAGCTTGCTGCTGTTTCTGAGGGGGGTAGAGCACATGGACCTGGGAGAAGCACAGACTTGCACCTCGTCGCTGTGAACCCCGTCAGCTTGCTGCTGTTTCTGAGGGGGGGTAGAGCACATGGACCTGGGAGAAGCACAGACTTGCACCTCGTCGCTGTGAACCCCGTCAGCTTGCTGCTGTTTCTGAGGGGGGTAGAGCACATGGACCTGGGAGAAGCACAGACTTGCACCTCGTCGCTGTGAACCCCGTCAGCTTGCTGCTGTTTCTGAGGGGGGTAGAGCACATGGACCTGGGAGAAGCACAGACTTGCACCTCGTCTCTGTGAACCCCGTTAGCTTGCTGCTGTTTCGGGGGAGGGTAGAGCACATGGACCTGGGAACAGCACAGAGCTGCGCCTCGTCACTGTGAACCCCGTCAGCTTGCTGCTGTTTCTGGGGTGGGTTAGAGCACGTGGACCTGGGAACAGCACAGAGCTGCACCTCGTCGCTGTGAACCCCGTCAGCTTGCTGCTGTTTCTGGGGTGGGGTAGAGCACGTGGACCTGGGAACAGCACTGTGAACTGCTGTGTGGACAACGGAAATGGCCCGTGAGTGCCGTGGGCTCTGGGAGAAAGAAAACACGTATTTCCTGGTGGGCTTCGGTTTTTCTGTTCAATGACTTGAATCTACAGGTTATGTATATAGTATACTTCAGGGACATTTGTGTTCACCTTAAATGTGAAAATAAAGCCTATTTTCCGTAAAGACTGGTGTTCGGTGCCTTGGGAAGGCGGTGTCTGTGGCCCAGCCTTCGCTGAGCTGGCCTGTGTCTGCCGGTGCTGAGGGCCTGCCCAGGGCTGTCATCACCCCCGCCGCCCACGAGGGTGGCGTCACCCTGCTTACAGGTGAGGAAAGAGACGGCATCGGCGCCCATGGCCGTTCCAGAGGCACTGGTTCCACCTGTGTCGCAGCTCTGCCTCTTGGTGACTGAGCCTGTTTTCCTCAGCTGCACGATGGGGGAGAGGGCCCACCTCGCGGGGGAGGGCCCGCTGTGCTGCCCGGAAAGAGCCTGGCAGTGCCTGGCGCACCTCAGCACCCGGAGGACGGGATGCTGCCGTTCCCGTGGGCCAGGGTTTCGGAGAAGGGCCTGAGCGCACCTAAGGTTAGGCACGGACTCCAGCGTGTGCATTTAACTCTGGAATGACTTCTAGGTGTTTCTGAGCCCACAGGGAAGGCAGATGGGGGGACGAGGAACGAACGCTCCTTGAGGCGCAGCCCACACAGTGAGAGGCGCACGTGTTCACACGGCTGCCGAGTCAGGTCGAGCGGTCGCATGTCCTTGGAGCCATGCTGCCGTCGCTGGCTGGGTTTGGGTCCCTGGGAGGCTGGGGCTGTGAGTCAGGTTCTGTGAGGTCACTGAAGTCATGACTGGATGGGGTCATTTGGGATCATGGCTCATTTCCATGAAGTCGAGTTCGGCTGCAGGGTTGGGAGCTCAGCCAGCCTAACAGTCTTTAAACAACGAGAGCCGTGGGGGTCCTGAAAGCAGAACAAGGGGGAGGATACCTGATTGAACCCCATTTTCAATCAGGTATTTTTTTTAATCCTCACCTGAGGATACCTTTCCATTTATCTTCAGATAGAGTGGGAGATAGGGAGAGAGAAACACCAGTGCGAGAGGGACACATCACTGGTTGCCTACCGCACGACCCCAGCCAGGGCCAGGGGCGAACCACAACCGAGGTATGTATGTGTCCTTTACCGGGACCGAACCCGAGTCATTGGTTTGCGGGCTGATGCCCTAACCGCTGAGCCAAACAGGCCAGGGCAGGTATTTCATGTTTTTGTTATTGGGGTTCTGCAAGGAATTTCATTTGAAGAATGGAAGCTTGAGCCAAATAATAATAATTGGTCATTGCTCACCCAGTCCAGCATTTTAGATGGGTAAACTGAGGACCCAAGAGGAGTCAGGATTTCCCAAGCAGTGCCTCGGGAGACCAGGTTAGGTTAGTTTGGAGACACTGCAGAATGTGTGAGCCTCTATCATCGGATCACAAGTGTTCTGAGGTCACTACTTCAGGTTTTCTCGTGACCTCGGGGGACTCTAGGATTGCAGAGGTGCTGTTGTTTGAGAACACCCTCTTGAGGTGTGACCTGCTGACCCGTGGTGATTTCTGAGGGGTTCCAGGGTCCCAGAGCCTATGGGCTTGTGGTTAGTTCACAGAGCATCTCCTTTTTAATGGTGTGTGTGTGTGTGTGTGTGTCCATGTCCATCCAGTCTGGTGTATGAAGACAGAGCCAGTATGTAGGAGTTTCCTGAGAACCGAGTTTCCTGAAAATGGGGCCGTTTGCTGCAGTTCTCGGCCCACACTGCACCGGGGCCTGAGCCTGTCTGACTTCGTTCACAAGCAGAAGCCTAAGGAGCCTACAGACAAGACACCGACTGACCGCCGGCACAGGGCCCTCGCGCGTGAGTGAGCAGTGAGTCGTGCGCGTGCTCAGAAATGGGATCACACGCGGCGCCATGTGAACACGTTGAAACTTCCGAATCACATCATTCTCAATGTGTGCTAGCTTTTCACGACTTCATTGAGCTGTAGTTACACACAGTAAAATTCACACATTCTAAGTGTATAGGTCAGTGACTTGACAAATTCATACGCTGAATCACCACCACCAAATTAAGTGATAGAACATTTCCCTCTCTCCAGAAAGTCACCTTTGCCCCTTCCACAGCCACTGAACTCTGTCAGTGTAGATTAACTTCGCCTGTTCTAGGACTTTTTATCAATGGAATCATACAAGGTTCACTTTTTGTGTCTAATTTCTTTAGTAGCATGTGTGAGAACGTGGAGAATGTCATGCCCTCCCGGGCCCTGTGGAGGGTTGGGCCATGAAAAGGAACGTCTGTAAGCGTTTCTCGGTCGGGTAAGGCCTACGCAATGCTTCTAGGAATCGTGAGGTGCCGCCCCTGAGACCGGCTGACTACAAGTCTCTAGGATGGGATCTAGGGGTCTGAATTTTAAAATAATAGTTCTGCTCAAGTGCGAATATTTGAGTGTAGGCCAGAGTAGGCCAGTTTGGAAAAGGAGGGTGTGGCTCATCACCACTCAAGTCTCTGTTCACTGCTGGACACATGTTTGCTGGATGCTCGGGGGGGCTGAGCAAGACCCTCCACGTACAAAGATGTCTCACTTGAGGAGCTGTAACTCTCGGGCGGTGGGTGGGTCTGTTCATCCCACGCTGCTTGGGGGCTGTTGGGCAGCTGTGCTCTCCGTGGCCCTGGGAGGGCAGCGTCCCACTGTCTCAGCCTGTGGGCTGCCTTTGAGGGGAGGAGCTCACGGTGGGGGCCTCGGCTCCCCTCCTGCCATCCAGCAGAGGGCCTGGCTTGGGTGGACCCATGCTGGGAGGATGTCTCAGTGGATGAGAAGCGTGGGCCAGAAGAAAGATCCATGTTCAAAGTTCACGGGAACAGGGTAGGTAGGGAAGTCTTGGTTCTACTCTGCACCCTAGTCCATCACAGCCTTGAGAGGCTGTCCAGAATTATGATGGTGGTATTATTATTATTATTATTATATATTGTAATGGTTGATTTTATGTGTCAACTTGACTGGGCCCTGGGGTGCCCAGACATTCAGTCGAACATTGTTCTAGTTGTGTCTATAAGGGTGTTTCTGCAGGCAGTGAAAATATGAATCAGTGGGTTGATGTAGCAGAGTATTCTCGCTGATTTGGGTGGGTTTCATCCAGTCAACTGAGCAGCTGACTGGGACAGAGGGTGCTCCTTCCGCCTGACCGAGCTGGGACATCAGCCTTTCCTGCCTTTGGGCTCGAACTGAAACACCAGGGCTCCTTGGGTCGTGGGCCTGCTGGCTTTCAGACTGGAACTTACACCTTCAGACTTGGACTGGAGGCGCACCATCCACTCCCGGATTTTCAGCTTGCAGCCTGCAGGCCTTGGAACTTCTCAGCACCCGTAATTGTGTGAGCTCATTTCTTATAGTAAATCCCTCTCTCAAACCTGACAAAAACCCTGGCTAATATGCATAGCTTCCTATTTTTTCCTACTTATAAAACCAAAATGCACTTGTAAAATACAAATGATATAGAAATGTGTAATATATAAAATTAAAATTACCCATAACCCTGCCATATTTATAGTTGGTATAGGGTTGGCATTTGCTTAGGATGTAGAAAGATGCAAAAGTCATCATTCCTGTCCCAACAATAATAAAAAGCAAAATAAACAATACAGTCATAACTTTTCTTGAGTTCATCAGAAAGGCAACCAGGGGCATGAGTTCCAACAAGGGACAAAGCCCCGCGAGGGGAATGGGCACTCGACGTGGCAGAGTCCTGCAGGAAGACATGGCCACAGGGCAAGTGGGTAAGATGAAATCAGGTGATATTTACATGAATTGATAAAGGCACACGGGCTGGTGTGTCCAGCTGAAATAGCTGGGGCTCCCCCACAAAGCGGGTGCATACTCACTCGCCAGGTCTCTCCCTCCAGGCCTCCACTAGATGCTCAGGAGAAAGACTGGTCATAGTGGAGGACCCAAGGCGCCTCCTTGGTGTGCAAGCCTGTGGGGATCTCCAGTCCCGGAGAAAGGCATGGAGCCTTGCTCATTTCCCCAGATTCTTCTCTCTTTTGAGGGAAAATTCTTTTTTTCCCTCCTTTATTGATTTTAGAGAGAAAGTGAGAGGGAGCGAAAGATGGAAACATCGGTGAGAGAGAACATGGATTGGCCGCCTCCTGCATGCCCCCACTGGGGATTGGGCCCACACCCTGAGCTGTGTCCTGACCCAGAATCAAACTGGTGCATGGGTCGATGCTCAACCACTGAGCCACACCGGCCGGACTGAAGGAAAATTCTTAACCACTTCAGGGAGAGCAACACTCCCTTCACCTCTGAAAGAATTAGAAGGGCCCTGGGGTTGGGGACAAGGTAGAAGAAAAGATTGTAACCCTCAGGGAGGGGCAAGAAAACATTCACAGCCCAAGGTCCTGTACTGATGCCAACTGGAAATCAGCCACCACTGGGGAAAGGCAAACACACTTTGGAGACATGCCTGAGACTGAGGCTGGACCAGGATGACAGAGAGCCCTCCTGCCCGCACCCCAGCCTATTCCACTGCTCGGGGAGAAGGAAGGACGCAGAGACACCTCCTGTGTTGCAGAAAGCTGGAAGTGGAATTCAAACCCTGAGAAAAACCCTTCAGCACCCCAAGCACCAGGTAGCAGTTGCCCATTACTATAGGAATTTGCATCTGCAGGGCTCTGAAGGACAGGACTCCGATACCAAAACCCAAACCCAACTTTGCATCTGCAGGGCTCTGAAGGACAGGACTCCGATACCAAAACCCAAACCCAACTTTGCATCTGCAGGGCTCTGAAGGACAGGACACCGATACCAAAACCCAAACCCAACTCAACTCCTGACGATCAACTCAATTCCCTACAATAAAGACCTGAAGCAAGAAACAGCACACCCGTTTTCCAGTGTGCATACTATATAGCTGTCTCTTCTGTTGCACAACAATGTTCAGTAGTCAATGAAAAAATTAAATGGCACAAAAGAGAAAGGAAAAAAATACTGTTAATAAGTAAGGCAATCAATAGAATCAGACTCAGATACAGCCCTGTCAGATAGGGACATTGAAAATAACTATGATCAATGTGTTAAAGGATCTAGTGGAAGGGTGGGCAACATGCATGAACAGATGGGAATGACT